GGAGCCCACGCCTCGGGGTACCGAGGCTGGGAAGGAAGGCCCGAGCAAGGCCTCCAACTACAGAGGGGCTACTGCTGAGGAGTACCGAAAGGCTGCTCGGGAATACGTGTACAGCGGGGAGGGAGATGATCGAAGAATCCTTCCCAAGAATACTCCAATCAACATGGAGAAGTCGTTGCCGGCTGAGGTCGCGCTCCTGATTCCTAGAGCTGTGGCCACGCAAGAGGAGGCTGAGGAAGCCGAGAGGACCGCAATGGAGGCCATCCGCGGGGATTATAGGCTTCCGGATGTGGGTCAAGAGGACAGGGAAAAGGTCGACCCTTACACCGTGACGGACGAAGACTTGGCTGCGTCGGTAGACGCGTTGACTAGGAGGTTGAGCAACATGCCCGAGTGGTCGGGAAATATGATCGACCCTGTGAAGTCTGCTGAGCTGGTCGCGGCGAGATGGGGCGGAAAGGCGAGTTATGACAAGCCTGAGGCTCCTCTGACTGAGGCCGGGATGAAGAGTGCGTCATTGGAGGATCGTGCCTACGCACTATCGCAGCTGAATCAGATGGTGAACTTTCACAAGAAGCACCTCTGCTCTGGGCGAGGAGCGCCTCTGGTGAGTGCGGCCGCCCCTAGTGGACCCTTTGCTCCTGACCAGTTGGATGATAGCAGGAAGTTCAGGCCTAGTGGGGCGGCGAGCAAGATGGCCTACAATCTTGTGATAATGGATGGGAAGGAGGATTATCTTGCCGATAGGCGAGAGATCAATCCAGAGTTAAGGGAAACGGGAGTTATCCCTGATGAGGCCGTCACTTGCCAGATTGTGGTTCCCTCGAAGACGAGGTTGGGTGAATACCTCCCGAACTACGAGGAGACCGTGGGCACTGTTGCAGGACGGGAGGCGGCGAAGGAGTTGATGAGACTGCTCTCGTGCGATTTCGACGGCTTGGTCATCAATTCAAAGAGAGTCTCGGAGTTATTCGAGGAACGTGTGCTGAAGGAGACCGGACGCGAGGCTGGAAACTGGGTGAAAAGTGACCAGGCCATCTGGTTCCTGAAGGAGATTTCGGGCATGGAGAACGCTGAGATGTCTTGGAAGTTCTTCATTCCGACGCTTAAAGCTTTCCCGATAGGGCAAGTGGAGGCGATGCTCATGGTCATGTACGACGGGGATGGCGTTCTCCTCAAGGAGAGCACCAGGTTGGTTGCCGTTAGGCACACGCGGATCGGACGCGACTTGAGTTACAGTGCCGTTAGGCACAGGTATACTCAGGAAGATGCACCTGGCGGATCTCTGATGTATGAGATGCATTGGAATGAACTCCCCATGGTGGGATACGTCATCATGAAGTTCTCGGACTTTCGGAAGGCGGTTCAGCTCCAAAGGGTGAGGCGAAATGGAAAGGCCATGATCGAGATATTGATCACGAGGCCCGATGTGTACGAGACCATTGGGGATGGTAGGCAGGATGAGGGCCTGATCCCACTTGTGGGAGCCATGGCGCCGGATGCTGAGGTATCGCCTTCGTGGTATGTCAGGGACAGGCTGCGGAACTACTCCGGTAGGTACGTGGTGGTAATGGTGGATCTTCGGGTGCACTGGTCCTTGGTTGGACCCGTGTTTTTGACGAGAAGGAAGACTCTTGCCGTTAGGAACGAGATCCACATGGGGGCTTGGAAGGCGGCGTATATGTACGATGATTACACGATAGTGTACCATCGGGCATGGGACTACGGTGACTTCACCCCCGTTAGGGGAGAGCACAAGCGATCACGGGAAGAGATCAGGCTGAATGTGACTGCCACGTTCTGCTTGAGGTGCGCAGAATTGATGCCGAATGGGATGCACTTGTGTCCCGGGTGCGCGCTCCCGGTCTTTTACCCGAACTTTATCCCCAACGCGGAGGAAAAGGACTTCGAAACGTGCCACATCGTGCCGGAGTGGGTGAGGACCATGGGGCAGTTCAAGCCCAGGAGGATTCCCTCCGAAGTGGTCGGAGTCATCAAGAGGAATTTGATTTCCTATTCAATGGCATCCGATCTAAGGATGACGGTGCAGAGCGGCATCAGACTTCCCCCTTATCTTGGTGAAGACAAGGGAGGTGTCGATGCGGCGTGGGATGAGCTGGCGAAGGTGCTCTTCCAATTCTCCTATGTGTCCGGGATTTCGGCCTCGGATGCGTTTGTGGAGAAGTGGGTGGCGAAGCACCTGATCAAGACCAACCAAGTCGATAGATTTGAGTCGGTCACGGAGTACTTCCGGGCCAACCCAAGACACGCTGCTCAGTGGGGTAGGCGTATGACGACTTCCGTTAGGAAGTTCGCTCGTCATGACACGTACTTGTCATTCTATATTCCGATGGCATACGTGATTGGTTCTGCGGCTGGTCATCTGACCCCATTGTACCCGACCCATCGAAAGGACGTGGACATCCTGGAGAGTCATGCGTTGATGTCGCAGCTCAGGAAGTACATGGTATCGGAGACAGGGTACGATGAGAAGAAGAGGTTGAAGGAGGCGATAGCCAAGGTGCAGAAGGCGATCAGCGCCGGACAGTCGGAGCCTCCCGCACCCTTCCGTGACCCGTTCGTCTACGTTAGTGACGAAAGGGTGAGGACGGTTCTTGACGGTCGTCAACCCGAACCTTTGAACGTGGACATCGAGGGACTCCAATCGGTGCATCATGCTGCGCCGGGTCCTGGTCCCAAGCAGGAGCCGGTCCCCAAGGGCGGAAAAGGAAAAGGGAAAAGGGGGAAAAGGGCGGTAAGGGCGGTAGTCCTTCCGGCCCGCCACCAAAATCAGGTGAAGTGCCGGGTAAAGGATCCGGTAAGGGCGGTAGCCCATCCGTCCCAAAGGCGAAGGATGACGCTGGACCTGCTCCGATGGAGGTTGATGCAGCAGCAGCTCAGCCGAAGAAGTCTTGGGCCGAGATGGTGGTTGAAGGGGCCAGGCCGAGTGCCAAGGCTAAAGTGACCCCGGTTCCTAAGGCAGAGCCGAAAGGGAAGGCTGCTTCGGCATCTGAGGCGAGGAGTGCTCCGGCTCCAAAAGCTGTGGCTAAGGAGACGAAGCAGGCCGAACCGAAGGTTGAGGTCAAGAAGGAGAAGACAGGCGGAGGTGACGCTCCCGGCGGTAGCCGCGGGTCGGCCGAAGGGCAGAAGAGAGAAAGGAAGTCCCGTTGGGATCCCGACGAGGCTGCGAAGGAGTCGACAAAGCGGGAGGCATCCACGAGGCCTGGCGACGTCGACAGCAGACCAGGTGCGGCAGCGAGAGAAGCTAGCGGGGATGATCTTCACTCCGCGCTTGGCAGATCTTCGGCAAAGGATGCGGTAGCGCCTTTGACTGCCTCCAAGGCGATGGCAAAGAAGCCTGAAGGCGGGGAGATCCGGCTGCAGTCTGCTGAGCGGGCCGCGGCGAGCCCGGTGGAGGGTCACTTCCTGGTGCTGCCTGAGAGTTCGGTGGTGGACGCTTTCTTGACGATCTCCACCAACAGAGTGCTGAACAAGCAGGTTAGGGATTTCATCAGAAATGGTGAGGACGCGTCGGCACTGGAAGCTCTCAACCAGATCGTGACGAACTCTCAATCTGGGAGGAGGCGTAGGGAATCGGATGTTTCCCGTACTCCTTCTCGGAGGTCCGTTAGGACCGTGGACACCAGGGATTCCAGAGAGTCGAGGAGGCGCAGATATCGTCCGCGGCGCGAGGATGATCGCGACAGGAGGAGGGACGATGCTCGTGATCGTCGTGATGATGATTCACTCGATCGGGAGCGGGATCGAAGGCGAGATGATCGCAGGAGATCCGAAAGGGATCGTGATAGGGACCGTGCGCGGGGCGGACGTGACCGGAGGAGACGTGACGATAGCCGGTAGGCTGAGTCACGAGGATTGCGGCCGATAGGCTTGCGTCCGTTCTCCAATGGTCGGCGCGGTGCGGAGGTGGTGATGTTCCTCCCGGACCGCTGAGGCGCGGAGGTCATGTCTCTCCCGTACCGCTGCTGAGCTGCTGGACGTGCTCATCCGGAAGCAGTATGAGTGAGAGGGAAAGCAAACTGATGGGGGGTTACTCCCGGGTTTGCGGAATTCAAGCATTTTTCAGGTACGCATGGTCAGGGTACCTCTTGCCGTTAGGCGAGGGTACTAATGGACATACGTTATCTTTTATTTCATGGCTTCTGATAAGAATTAAACTTCTTGCATTGTTGATGCAAACAGTTGTGACCTAATGTCGTCATGTGGACTTTTCCACAAGGTTTGTTGGACAGCGTTACCCCGATTAATTCGGGGTGGTGGCGGGAATTTAATGCCCGGGATGTCGCGCAACTGCCTTTGTGGGTTTGCTCCACCGCTGACGGCGGTAGTGTCCAGCTGTTTGCGGACGCATGCGAGCAGTTAAATCCTATCAGTAAATGGCACGCTCCACCCGTCATATGACGGGCTCCTCGTGAGGGGGGTGTGATTAGCCATGGTTCATATCATCATCAGGGACGTCGCGTTAGTGACCGACCTGTGGTGTTTTGGCTCAAGTTTTGGATCCGGCGCGCCTCGGATGAGCGTCGCCGGGCCCTCACGTCGACCGCCTTCGTGTCGGAGGAGAAAGAGACTTCGGCCCGGGGTAGGTTGGTGGGGATCGCCCGTGCGGTTCATCGTCGATCTAGGTTGCGGGTATCCTTTTCTACTTTGGTTATTTTCCCTTTTGGTTGTTGTTCTCTGGTGTGTGGGAAACCCTGATCTTTGGGACCGGGGATTGGTTTGCTTTTGGGGAACCTTTCTTTTGTGGCTTGTTTACCCCAACTTACCCATTGCCTGGGCACAGGCTCGTGCCCGAATCACACACTTTTCAGGACTCCTCCTGTGAACGGCTTTTGTTGGGAAACATTTTACATTGTTGCTTATTGTCGTTTAGTGGGGAAACCACCATTTAACTGCTAAAAAATATATGTTTGCTCCCCTTCCAACCTCAACCAAGTATTCCCATGGAGGCATTTCCCGGTGCTTGTTTCAATCCATAGGCATGCTGGGGCAGCTGGCCATCCACCTGGCCTGCATGGTCTACATCGCCGAGCTGGCGAAGGTGGCTATGGGCGAGGACGAGGTCAAGGCCGTCATCGAGTTCGAAAAGGACGGGGGGGGGGGCCCATCGACAGCGCTTGGAATTTTAAGGGAACTCCCCTAGAAAGTAGTTGGTGGTCAATTGAATACATTCAGTCAATTAAGCAGTAGCAATCACTTCTGAGCTTGCAGAGCGGCAGCACAAGAGAGATGAACCACTTCCGCCAGTATGGTGCTTGGCTTTTTTCCATGCAAAAGTGATGCCCCCGCTCGCCGTGCGGTCGTTGGCGATGTGTGTGTGTGTGGTTGGTGGATGGATGGATGGATGGATGGATGGATGGGTGGATGGGTGGGTGGGTGGGTGGGTGGGTGGGTGGGTGGGTGGGTGTGTGTGTGTGTGTGTGCGTGTGCGTGTGCGTGTGCGTGTGCGTGTGCGTGTGCGTGTGCGTGTGCGTGTGTGTGTGTGTGTGTGTGTCGGTTTGTTTGTGTCGCCAGGTTGTGTTGCTCTCCCATTTGGGCAGGAGCGGAACAAGCAGCTGGACGCCCTTACAGAGGAGGAGATGTCGGAGTGGAATTGGTTCAGCTCCGTGCCCTTCAAGCGCCTATGCCAAATTGGTTTGGATTCGGCTGGTGGCGCGGCAGATTCATGACTTGCGGAAACTTGCAGCACTCCTTTCAAACCACGGTTCTCATGTTGCGACCAAACCTGCAAACTACCATTTCATTTTTCATGCCTTTTGACTCACAGACTTTCTTGGTTGCGGTTCATGGTCGGCGTGTGAAGCTGTCTCCATTGAGGAGCAACCTGCTGAATACCTGCTGCTGGCTGGTGGAAACCGCACAGCAGGCCCTTGGTGGGCGCGGGGTGGTGGCGGAACAATTGGAGGGATACTGCACCACTTCCCGGAGGGACCTCGCAGATGTGCGCATTGGAAGCGCCTTCTTGTAGCTTTTGGAAGTGATTCATGCTTTTAGCAGTTGACAATCCATTGAGGTTTGCACCGTGCACCACACTTACTCTTGCAGCATGCCTAATGAGCCTACTGTGCTGCTCCAAATGTTTCTGGGCCTTGGCCCAGATGTGTCAGTGATGTCCAGTTCTCATCCGAAAGCATAATTCCCTGACCTGGCGAACTTTGGCGCACCGGGGAACATCCTGTTCGTGCTGAGATGTACGCGGCTTTGGCATTGGATGGCAGCGTAGCTCTCATTGCACATTCAAATGTGGCAGTCATATGCTATGGAGCGCACGGATCCTTTGGTACTTAGTGAGGTTGTGTGGTTCAGGAAAGCTAAAGATCAAGCCCGCATTTTTGTTTGACAATGCAAATCAGCACTGATGGATCCGAAATCGCGAGGTGTCCGTGATCTTTGTGAACTACAAAGGCCCCTTGGCGACAGCGGGAGAAGTAATTAGCACGCTCAGAGGCTGGGGTGGTGGAAGGCTCGACGACTTCGTTGCACTCTGAAACATGCGTCAATGCAATACGTCTCATGTGTTTGGTCCCACTCCGTGCAAAGTGGGTCGAGCACAGAAAGAAGGGCAGAAACTGTAATGGTCTTCTTCTAGCCTCTTTGAAAGGCGTCAAGATGTGTGGAGCAACCCTTCCGATGTGCCCAATGAATCCCTTTTTCTCAGAGGTTGGTGCCACTTTGGATCGCATGTCAGATTCGATGTATGAGCCGGATTAATAAGCCCCTGTTTATTAATATATATGGGGGTGTTCCCCTCCAAAAGTGATGATTTGCACTGAAACCAGGGACCCCCGCATATTATTAAACAGGGGTTTATTCATCAGATCATCAGATGAGGGTGCTGGATGGGCGATGCCCTGGGCATGCAAAGGTGGCCAGATATGCAGAAGGTTGCTCATTTAGGATCACCCGGCTATACCGTTGTGCGTTCCGAAGCCACCCAATTGACCATGACCGCGGCTAAACTTTGTCAAGCCCCAACACGGCAGGCTGCGCCCCAACCAAGGCAGACCATGGATGAAGGGCCTGCTGGAAAACCAGCCGCTGCTCGGCGTCAGCTTTGGGTGGATAGTGCCAGGTGAAGTTGCATTGACACGCCACCGCAGTTTGAAAGAGGTTTGAGACGGGATACGAATATGCCCTGTCTCCGTTTCAGGCTGCGCCTTAGCGCGCATGTGGCCACGTTTGGCCATGGAAGCCTGAGAAAACGACACTTCGTGTGGGTGACGTCAACACACACGTGGTCTCACGTGGCTAAAGCCAATCGTTGGCAAGGACCCTGACGGGTTGGGAGCCCGAGGCTTTTCCTGTCACTCTTCGGGTGCATTGGCATGGCCCGGGCCCCCGAGCGGGACGGTTCCAGGAAATGACCTGGAGTGTGGTTGTGCGGGTGTGTGGGTGTGCGGGCGCTTGTGCTGAGTGTCCATGTTTGAGGTGGCAGTTTGTGCCTGGGGCATGGTGCCGCTGCTGAACTCCACCTTGAATCTTGGACGAGCTAGTCGCTGAGGCATGACGCTCATGACACATCTCTACAACCTTTCAAGAAATCATCAAGGCACAATCGATACAACGATAGGTACTTATGTCTGGGACGAGTTTGATGAAAGGACTGGCAAAGCAAGTATGTTGCCTTTTCGGGACAGGTTGCGGTCCTTGGCTTTGGATTTTTTTATGATCAGAATGCTGGTAGGATGGTTCGTCGTAGGATCTGTTCCTTTCGCAGACTTCCCGGGGCCAAAATTGCCCCCAGTGGATCTTGACTGGTGCCTCTAAGCCGGGTGAAGTTGGCGACTCAGAGGCCTCACAAAAAAAACACCCAGGTTCAAGTTCTCCTAGGCGTCTTTCGGCTGGGGGAGTGAGTTCCGAGGAACTTGGAGGTGGTGCCTGAGGATCTGCGGATCAAGGCCTGGCCCCAGAAAGGTTTGGTTGGACAGATCCCTTCTTCTGCGCTGCCAATTTCTTCCCCCGGTTAGATCCAATTCCCGCCTTGGGCACACCTGGATATGGGAGTCGGTGCAGGTCTGATTCTGAGAGGCGATGCTGCGCCCAGGTTTTGTCTTACAGACATATGGGATCCTATTTTGGGACAGGTGCACCACCCATTTCAGTCTATTAGTGGGGATTGGGATGTTCACTGGGGGTACGAGATTCTGACCCATGTCCATGTGGCTAGACGATGCTGAACTACGCAAGATAAACATGATGTATTATCGGTAAGGCTGTGTTCCCATGGTGTTCCAGGTTTCATCGCAGAGCGGCCAGTGCTAGCGCTGCTGACTTGCTTGGGAGGTGGAACAAGCGGATTAACACCTAGGTAATCCATTTCGGAGCAAGGAGTTCAAAACAGCAGAAATGCTTGGCTTGATTTTTTGGGTTTCTGTATTGGTTTAGTACTTGTTTGGGTTCTGAAATGGCCCCCGGATAAAATCGCTAGTTTGGTATTGTTTAGAATGGGCCGATTCCAGATGTAGTATTCCCTGACCTGGATTTGTTTGTTGGGCAGACGTTGATCATTAGGAAGAAGGGATTGCACGTGGCAGCTGTGAAGCTTGCGCAACTTAACATCCAAAGAAGCAGGCCAAGTAGTGGCCAGCTGTCGCGGCGCGGCTGAGCCTCACCTCTTATTGTTTACTTTGTCCAGCCGTGATGCATGAGGGCTAATGTCCGACGGCCTAAATCTTCGAGTGCTCTGACACCTTTTTTGCCTTGCAGCTTGCTAGCCGCAGGGGCGCTGAAGCAAACCTTGGGCCGCGGCAAGGAATCGCCAAGTCCTCCCAAACCCTCCCGTGTAGGTGATTATTGTGCTGTTCGTCTCCTTGGTTGGCTCCTTTGTCTGGGACCGGCTGATGGCAGGGCCCTTGGAGGGCGAGGGGCTGGGATGACGGAGCCTGTGCTTCTTCTGCTTGTTGGTTTGCTCGTGTTTGTCGAGGTTGTGTCGATGTCGCATGGTTAGCTACGGGGTTCCTGGTTGATTTGTTGTGTCGCTTGTTTGCCAGGAATGCTGACGTTTGCATTTGGGTTGGGCCTAGCATTGCCCAGCAAGGGCCAGGGTTGAGTTCTGAAAGATGCGCTTGTTGCTTTGTTTGGTATTGTGTGCTTGTGAGCTGTGTACAGGGGGTGGCCAGCAGGGTAATACCGGTGGCAGGCGGGTTTACCCTGCATGACATTCTTGATCCATCATCTTCCTTCATTCTCTTCATCAGCCGCTTGAAAGTGCAGGGGGAGGTGTCATTGCTCTTTTGCTATTTATTTCTTTCGAGGTCTTGAGGGACATCAGGGTGTTCAACTCACTGCTGGCAAATGCGCCTTTGTTGATGAAGTTGTCGCGCTGCCAGGGCTCAATTCAGGCCATCGCTGCGTGCCACTCTTCCGCCCAAAGGGCCGGAGCACGGCATCGAATATCACCACTAGCGTTCTCCATGCGGAAACGGCTTGTCATTGGCTTGCCCTACTTGGCGAAAGAAGTCACCTCAAACACCCTAAATCCATACCCCTACACTTCAGCCCAGAAGTATATGCCTATGTCCACATATAGGCGCAGCTTTGCATCCATTCTCACCCCCCTTAGCTCGAAGACTCCAAGCAAATAACCGCTTTGGATGGCGGATTCGCCAATTCAATTCCGTCGCTCTTGAACTTGAAGTTTCGACCCGTTCGTGTAGGCATTCAGAACCCCTAGCCTAAATGAGACGCTTGTCAAGCAGCAGAGTGGTGCAAAGCAACATTTTTTCAGTGTTGCCGCCATGACAATGAAGCGGGCTGATTCGATCTCTGCTGGCATAGCAGAAGGGATACGGCTGCAGAACCTTGGTAAGCAAGAGTGTTCGCCCACATCGAGGCGGCTGACTTCGCGGCAATTGTGTGCCAAGTACCTCCTTCCATTTGGTTTTTCCGAGCAGTCATGTATCAGCAACTAGGTCAGACCCGGCAACCTAGGAGCAGGGTTTGGCAAAATGATTTGACTCAGCACCACCCACCAGGTCTCGTGACAACAAGCGGGAAAGGAATTGCATTGGTATGCTTGTTGTGTTTTGGTGAGTCGGACAAGCAGCCTTTTTCATTGTTCAGCTTGCCGTGTTGCTTGCTCGCTTCAATCTTGCGAGCTTTTGCGTTCCGATGGCCTTTGTCCCTTTGAATCCAGCTACAGAGTAAAGGGTCCTCCATGATGCTCCCAATGACCGCGAGGGCTCTGGGCCTTTGCCAGCGAGGAAGTCCCAATCTGTGGCATCCTTGGGCCTGGAAGATGCGCTGGAGCCCCATCCGCCGGTGAATCCGATCGTAGAGCAGCAGGAGGTTGCGCCCATCATGACCTCGGCCTCGCAGTTTCTCGGCGGGCCTACGAACGTGTGAGACACGTGTGGCAACAGATGCAAAAGAGAACAAAAGAGGCCTGCCCGATCCTTCCCGGATGTTGAACGATGCCATAACCTCCTTGAAAGCATCTTACTGTTCATTGGGGCAAGCAACATTTTTCCCCCATTGACGACGCGCATGCGCATGGTCAACGCTGGTGTTTGCAAATGCCCCAAGGCCATCGTGTTTCCACGCCCGGATGTTGCCCGGACGTTGCCATTCTGAAGTGTACCGGTTTGATTTCCATGTGCAGATCAAGTCCGTTTGGCCGACTGTCGACATGCTGGCCAGAGGCAGCAAGCATCCAATTTGCTATGATCTGATTGTTAGGTTGGAGGCCGTTGCATGCAAGATGCCCTGCAACCACATTCCATCAAATTTGAGTGGAGATGGGAGGTTACCGTCCACTTGTCCAGCGGGTATTGTAGCGAAGTTTTGAGTCTAGGGAGGTAGGTCTTCTCCCACTCCCGATGGCTCGCCTGAGGCATCCACGCTTTCCGAAGGAATGGTCTGCTGCGCGCCGATGCGCCGCAAGGTTAACAACCAACGTCTACTTTGACATTACCATAGGAGCCCATGTTCGGTCCGGATGGTTGGGAACGGCTGGGACTGTTTCGGGACCCTCGCTGGCGATGGTGTTGCCTGTGCTGGGGGTTTTGGTTCAAGTGGCCCTTGCAGGCTTGCACTTTCGAACGCAAACATGGATTTTACAAGCATGCACAATGATTTACATGTTCCAGCCCACGCTGGCCCCACCCATTTGAAGTTGCAAAGGCTTGCGGTTTTCTGTTGTATTGCCACAGGCTGGCAGCATGTGCGGATAGGCAAAGACGACCCTGGGGGCTTTCCCCTAAACACTGCGCTTTCCATTGCGCGAGGAGTCATCGTGTTGACAAACATCGGGCTGATTGTCCACCAGACAAACCTGACTGGCCTGGGAGAGGATGTCGATCCAGAAGCTTGCCAGAAGGTATGGTCACAGGAAGTGCTCAACGGCTTCAGGATGTAACGCTCGCAGGGGTCGTGGCGCATGTGCGGGGGAAAGGGGGGGGGAAGGGGGGGGGGGGTGGGGGGGGGTGGGGCAGGGGGTGGCCGTTCAGATTGATTGCAGGCAGATAGGAAGGCAGTAAGCCCCCTGACCGGTGGCGAGCTTGATCAGCATTTGGGGGCTCAGAGTTGAGACATGTTGGGACCATTGTTGAACGCAGCTCTGTGCCCTTCCTGCTTTGAACGTTGTTTTTTGGGCTGCCAGTGCGCACTTTTTTTTTCATGTGGCAACCTCGGTGTGAAGCTAGGTTACATACTGAAGCGGTGTTTCTACTTAGCTAGCTGAGCAAATGCTGTTGACTTGCGCACCTGGTCCATCTAGGTGATCGGCACCTTCAACCTGGTCTTCCTTTTTGTTTATACCTTCGAGGCTGGATTTTGGTGGGTCACGGTGCCCACAGGTGGCTTTGCCCTGCCAGAGACATATTCGCCACAATGCCCATTGCGGGACCTTGTCGGGCAATCCTTTCAAGCAAGCATGCCCTAGCCACTAGCCCAGCGTTCTAGGCACTTCTCCCCTGCCATCCCCTGCCCGAAACGGTGAAGATATGTACAACAGCAGGGAGATATATAGCAGAGGCACCAGTCCCAGCATCATCAGCGAACGACGTTCAGCTGCCGGCCAGCTGCAAGCCAAACCAGCGACCGCGTTTACCTCTCGCTGGCCTTCCCCAAAATGCTTGAGACCACGCGCGCCCCAATTTGTCGCCAAAGAACGCCCCAATCAAAAGTGGACCTGAGGCCCATTCTGAAACAGAAGCTGCCTTGGAGGGCATTGGAGATGCGCGTGCAATGCGCGGCATCGCTCTTGCCTGTGAAGCCGTCGGAAGCCATGCCGCAAATCAAAGGCGTAAACCGCAGCGGCATCCAACTAATTGGGGATATGTAGAAACAAAAGAAGCGGCCCACGAGACAGCTCGGATTCCATCAGCCCTTCAACTGATTACTGACTTGCACTTGTGTAGATATGCATGAGCTACAATACTCCACATTTGGAACGCTCAGCTTTCCCTTTACAACTAGACACCCCTTCAAGGAGGAACATGGCTAACGCGCCAGGCTCTTCTAAGACTGGCAGCCTTCCGGATAGCCTATTTCTACTCCAGCTGGAACCGCCTGGACTTCTGCGTGCTCAGTGTGGACCCTGGGCGGAGGGTTGTGACGCGGTCGTTGACGCTGATGTATTTTTGGTGCGGTTTGGCGCTTGAGTTGTGCCTATTGTCTTCTGGCATCAGGCGTTGTTCCACTTTGCAAGGAAGCATCTAGCCCAGAACTGACCTTGCCAACGGGGTGTGTTGTCGGTTGGCATTGAGAGGTGCATTTGCTTCCGCCATTTGCCTAATTGTGAGTCTTAGTCCTTCCATCCATCCTTCTGGAGTTGGTTTTGAAGCGCAAAACGGAAAATGCACCGAGCAGCGGTGTTCTCCCTTTAAGCGCTTACTGGTGACGTCCACAGCAGGACTGGATCCTGCAGATCATCGCCATCGTCCTTGCAGGCGAGAGCTTCAAAGCAGCGCCTTGGATGCACTCGGCGCTCGGCACTCAGCTTCGTATGGCCGACTTTGTCCGAGTTGCAAAATGGTTGGCTTCGAGTCAGCTTCTTTTTGCCAACTCTAGTTGGCTTTTTGTCAAGTTGGTTGCCAAAGCGCAATTATTCATTGGTTGCCGTTGCACAGCCGAGTGAAGCGCGGGCGCGTCGTTCATCTACGTGGGTCTTGTTTCTCGCAGCCCTGCAGCTCTGGAAATCTCGAGTCCTCAGTTCAAACCGCCTCTCCAGGTTGGTTGTTTCAAATGTGGGATCGACATTCGCCAAGGGCCGAGCCAAGATATATAAGCATGCAGTTCCACAAGTCTGGTCTTACCCGGGGCCCAGGACGTGTTTGTGTTATGCAGTGTGAATGCATCAAGGTCAAGCCACAACTTGTTGAGCATTGCCTTTGTGAAACGGGGCGTCCACTTGTTTTTGGCTTTTGAATTTGTAGATTAGTAAGCATGGTGTATTTCATGTAGGGCGAGCCCAAGGCGGGGAATGACCAACCAAGGATCTGTTCCGGATCCTCCGTGTAATCCGTGCACTGCGGGTGCTGCGGAGTATCCGAACACTTCCTTTGTTCAGAGAGTTGTACATCATGCTCTATGGCTTCCTCTCCGCCGCAAAGGCGACATTGGACGGACATGTCCTTGTTCTTTGCGATTCTTTGTGTATGCTGGTGCATGTCTGTGTGCAGCAGCGTGCATGTGTGTCTCATGTGTTTTCTGTGCTGAATTGTATTTCGTGTGTGCTGTTTGTCTAGTATTTTGTGTGTGTGTGCGCGCTTTATGTGCCTTGTGTGTCTTCTAGGCGTTCAAGTTGTGCGTGTGTTGCCATAATTGTTTGTGTTTGCGCGTTTTAGTTTGTTTGTGTGTGTGTATGTGTTGGCCTTTCTGTGTTTGTTTGTGTGTCTGACTG